AAAACGAAAATAAACATGTTTTCAGAATCAGTTTGGAGAATTTTGAAAGATTTTTTTAAATGAGATTTTTGGATTTTTCTTAAAATCGTTTTTTTTTTTATTAATTAGTAGATTAATTTTGATAAAAATATTAATTAATGGCAGCAAAAGAAAGCGTCTAAGAAATTTTGGAGGCCTAAACACCAAAAAATTGAAATAAATTACAGCTAACGGTTTTTGGATGTAAAAATTTTTGAAAGCGAAAGTAACAAAATAATAATGTAACTTTGTTTTAAACATAATTTTTAGAAATTGACGAGAATACAGAATAATTAATTATAAATAAGTAGAGAGACAATTAAATAAGGGTATCTTCCCATCGGAAGGATTATGAAGGATGCATTATGTTTTTCAAGAACACTCTTTAATTTTGACATTTCTTTAACCCATCTGCTGTCTGAGATCACCATAAACAGGAAGTCCGTATTTCAATGATTTTTTCGCAATTTACGATCCAACCTCACAAACACCACACTATCCTCAAACCACTAAACTCGTTGTTAAAATTTATTAAGGCCACACACTCGCCTTATTGCCTATTCATGCATCGGTTGTTTTCATCTCCACATAAACCTACCAAATAATTTACAATTCTACACTCTAGATAATCAAATTAAACTTCAAATCGATTTAATTAAACCCAATTGTGAAACTCGTACGGACAGCGACCTCCTAACTCATGTGCAAACTGTTTTAAAATCGTAGGTTAAGGTTCACGCTTAAACACTTTAGTGGACACTTATTAATTTATGGCTTAAATTAATTTATGGTTGAGGAATTTGATTTTTAACACTTAATAACACAGATGGCCCCGATTTTAGAGCCACTGCATTCTTCCCAAATTTTACAAGTTAATCTCTTGGTGATGAGATTCATTTCCGCATTGTACAAGAACCGGTAAAATACCATCTACCACTTCGGAACTTTTGACGGGTTAAGAAAGTGATTTTTTGTCATTAATGGTCGAATATGGCGAGCACTTTCATGTCACAAGAATCATTTTCTAGCATATATAAAGTAGAGCAAGGTTATTATTAACCTGGAAACCATAATTCGAAGGAAATTTGTTGTTTCGCCATTAAACGAGGCTAATTATTTAATCACTGAAACGCCCATTTGTGGGTTTACTTGAATATACTCCAGTCAACAACCAAGTTACATGCATGCTCGGGAACAAAAGTTTCGTTTCGAAGTCAGTTTAGTTTGAAAATCGATGAATTAGGTCAGAAATTGCTTTTTTCTACAATCGACATATAATGTTAATATTTAGATTGTTGTTATGGTTTCGGAATGACATACTTTTAGGCTCGAGTGCCTAAAAGTAATGTCATTTTAGGCACGAGTGCCTTAAAAAAATGTCATGTAACGTATTTTTTTATTTCAAAAGAAACCAAAAATAATAATGCCATAAAAACACAAAATTAACGCCTTATTTATAATACATAATTATAAATATTAAAGGTACAATTATGAATATTAGAATCCGAGATATTTTGACAATTTTGATTCTGTGCGCTATATTAACACGTGAAGACGTCGAAGAAATTGACAAACACGAGGCTATGCCTTTTAAATCGAATAGGTGAAAACTACCTTTTCCATGATGGTAAGCAATTTTTTCTCCTTGCACCAAATTTTAAATTTGTAAGTTGCTTGATACACAGATTTTCATATTTTGATCTCTCTGGTATAAAGGGCATTCATAGCGCCTTCTGCTACATTTTCGATATCAGAAATTACATCGGAATTACTCATTTTTCCAAATTATGTGAACAAATTTTTCGATATTTTTTCGCAACTTTGCAATTTTTTCGATTTGACAACGTCAAGATTTCCTTAACAATGTCCCATTTTTCATTTATTATAAAAAATTTTGGTGATTATAGAAACAATCATGTATGAAATACCTTGCAAAAGAAGTGTTTAGGCACTTGACGTGTTGGCCACGTCGCATGCGTAAAAGGCTTTCATTTCGTAACTTATTTCAAAAATTTTGAGTGTTTCAGTACACTTTTCAGACAAATTTTTTTCAAATTTTTTGACTCATTAGCTAAAATTAATAAGTGGAAATTTTTTTGACACAAAAATTAACCTAAAATATTTAGTAAAATTTGATTTTAAACATCAAAAACTAAGACTTACTTACTAGAATTCGTGATGTCATGCAATCTTCACCCCAATACCCCTCGTGCATTGATTGAATCCGGAAAATTTTTCTCGTGATTTTCAAAAACGTATAATTAATGACGTTTTTGACAATCACTTGAAAAAATTTCCGGAAACAATCAGTGCACTCGGGATAGTCTAAGTGAAAATTTTGTTTTTTCTCGAATATTTGCCATACCGAGTTAAGTCAAGTCAAATTTGTGTAAAAGTTGTAAACCTTCGACACTATTGGAAAAATTTAAATCATTATCTTGCACTTTGGTGAAAATGGGTGTAAATCTGTCAATTTTTTCAGTTCTGATTCAGTGAATTATTGTATTTTTTTGAGCTGGTAACACCGATCTATGGAGGAAAAATGGCTTTGATGGATGGACATAGTCCACCAACATAGATTAATAACTCTATGTCAGGGCTGTTGGGCTTTTGTTCCCCGCCGGCCCTGACCTTCGCCAAGAGGCCCTCGACGTGGTGGGTCTCGAGAAAGGTGAGATAATGTCGTCATAAATTACCCACCAAACACTTGAAATTAAATCGAAGAAAAATCGCGCATCCAAAGCCCACGTTCTAGGCACTCTCCATTGGAGTCGTATTTGTTTGAGAGATTTACTGGCGGTTGCAACGGATGGGTCAGTCTTTGTGGCGTGGAATGGCCTCTGTACCACAGTCTGGTCTATCTGTCATCGACATCTGTATTGAATAATGCAAATTCTCGGACGTGGACATACAACCGCGACTCGACTTGACTTGCTATCTAATCGACGATCTGGAATTCGCAAGAAATGTTATGACAGGTGGGGAATGCGAAGGGATAAGGACAAGGAAGAGGGCAATTTAACGAAAATTACTGTTGTACTTTCTAAAACTGGTTAAAAGCGTGATTAACAATGTTGCAAATTTCTTAATTTGAGCGGTATTTAGATGTTTCAAAACGTGCTATTAACTTCACTGTATTATATTGATTGCGAAGGTCATAAAATTACAAATACAGAGTGCACCAGAACTCGCGCCCCAGAGAAAATTTTCAAGTAAGGTAAGATACCAGGAACATGAAAAAAATGTTTAAAAAATTCTATCTGTCAAAAAATTTTGACATTTGATATTTTTTATATCTATTTAATGATACTGATGATCTTGTATATGTTTTTTTACTATTATTTAGTAAAAGGACAAAAATTTTGCCAATAAAAGCCACAAATAACATTGAACAAAGTTACAATTTAGGATACAACTTCGTTGTTTCCTCTTTTAATGGTTTATAGCAATAAAATTTGGAAAATAATTTTTCCAGCAGAAATAGAATCAGAGTGCAAACTTTAAACCCTCATAACTTCAAAATTTTTATAGATAAAATTGTTTTAAAATGTTTTCCATGTTTCTGGTATCTTACCTTATATGGATGGTATTTTTCTCTGGGGCGCGAGTTCTGGCGCATCCTGTATGTACTTAATAAAAGTATTTGGTCTTGCAAAATCTGTTTTTTCTTAAACTCAAATTACCAAATCAAAATTTTTTAAAATAAAATTGTTCAAATAACAAAATTTTGACTTTATGGATTTTGTATAAGGTAGAATCCAGTGCTGTTGGTAGAAAACACACAGCAATTAGTTGTAATGTTATGACCAAAAATGAGCATTGTGTCAAAAAAATCAAAAAAGTTGTGTCGATTCAAAAAGTTATTGTGTGGAGGATATATAGATTGCCAATAAATTTTGACAAAATTTATGAAATTTGGCAAGTTCTAAATCGTCCTTCAATTTTAAGTTCAAAATTGTCAATTTTGTAACATTTTTTAGATGTGGTGCAACCAGATACCCTTATCTAATTTCCTTCCTTCTCTCCAATGATTATTTTGTATTCTCGTCATTTTCTGGTCAAAAATAATATTTTTTTAGATCAAAAACTATAGCGGTACTAAATTTATCCTCTTAAACCCTTTTATACATCAGATTTGTCTTTTTTGCTTTGATTTCTTCTGATTTGAATAAAATAGCATACAAACCTCGGTGCTTCTCGTCTTGAGCTCTTATGATAATGAAATAAATATTTCCCACTCCGGTTGTACAATAATAAACTTTTTATTTTCTACCTCATTAAATTCTAGACTATTTTTGTTGTAATTATAATACAAATAAAAAATATGTATATAAAAATTATATTTTTAATAATGTTTAATCAGTAACTGTTTTTTTTTCTCTTAAAAAATTGTCAGTGGACAGTTTAATCGAAAATGGCTTGATTTTTTTGCATTTAGGTGTCGATCTAATTTTGAGATCACGTGAGTCTCGGGGTAATATTTCTCATGTCGGTTGCAATATACTATCTATGTTATTTAACCTTACAAAACCTTCGATTACCTTAGTAATAGTTATGAAACAAGTATATACATAAAAATGTTATTTTTTAAAATTTGGTAATGTTAAACTATTCTTTTCCCAAAAAAATGAATAGTTTTATGGAAACTTTTGCTTTTGAGTGTTTTCTTGGTGTAATGACCGCGATAATCCACGCCGACCCCTGCTTACCGTTAAGCCCTTGAACGTCTCTTAATCGTTAAATTTATCCCGCATAATCTTCTTTAGATTCCTGTGTAAATTACATAAATTTGCCTCGATAGAGGGCAAGATTTACGAGCGTTCTTCTCGGCAACTCTCCATACAATCGGTCGTAATTAACAATGATACACTTGTCACTGCATTCGCTTCCAAACCGAAATAAAAATTTTTCATGTAAGTGTGTCGTTGACCAAATTCTCCGCTTGACACTTTCTTAATTAACGCAATTAATATTTTTTCCAGTGCAAAGTCCCGTTGGCCGGCTCCGCGCCTCTAGGATGGCCCCTGAGCCTCGGTCCATCCGGTGTAGCGATCCACCTGGGCCCTCTCGATCCCTCCGTGCTCAGGAACAGCGACTGCTACTTGTGCATTAGGGGCCGAAGCGCTCCCGGCCTCGAATTGGCCCTCATCTGGCGCCAAAATTTGCACATTCACTGCCACACCATCGCCGAATTCAAAGATCCGCTCAGGAATCTCGAAGACATAATGTGCTCGAATCTGCGTTCAGTGGCCGATTTGGAACTGATGTCGTATGATGATTACGACGGTGCTGAGTTGCCGGAGCTTTTGCAGAATTTGTTAGTGTCGGTGGAGCATGCCATCGAGAGGGTGCCTCTGGATGATTTGACTTTTCCGTGTCCGCAGTGTCTTCAGTATTTGCCGCTGGATAGGCGGGAAGAGGAAGTGATGTCGTGTGCCTGTCAGTGTTCTTGTAGGCTGCCCGAGAGTCCGGTGCTCAAGAGGGATTCCGCCATGCAAACTAGTCCAATGTTTGAGTTTGCGGGGTCTATACCGCATATTGATAGCGATGAGGAGGATGATAAGGACTCGATCATAAGTGGTAAGTTTGAAATAAAAAATAAATAAAATACAAGCAATAATTATTTCTTTTTTTTTTTCAAAATTAAACTCTAAATCGAAAAAAAAGTTTCTTGTGGAATCCTTCCACACGAAGGGGAAAAGGGAATTTTGAAAAACGTTACATCTTTATAGTAATTTCTTATTTTATTCAGCAAATTAACAGTTTAATCAGAAATTGCTTGTTGCCATACCTTTTCGGGACATATGTCCAGGCTGGACTAAAAAATTACTCATATTGGAACAAACCTTCTCAAACAATATTTATTCGATTGCTTATAAATAATAATTAAAATAATAATAAAATAAATGCATATTAAAAATATTTATAAAATTTTTGTGATTTTTGTTCAAATATTCCTATAATATAATTTAGAAATTGATTGCTTTTTTTTTCTGTTTTGATTTCGTCTGAAATATTTGCCAATCGGAATGACTCAAAATAGCTATTTTCAAAATAAATATGATTTTAAGGTTTTATTTTTTTATGGAAAAAATTACTACAATTACTATTCAAAAACACAGTTAAGTTAATGTAATAGTTATTTTTATTACAAGGGAGGAAAGTGTGTATCTTTTTCTTCCTGCCCAAGACTTGTCGAGGGCAGTAACTACCCAGGGAGGAAAAGACACTTAACGTGTATACAGGGTGCGCCAGAACTCGCGCCCCAGAGAAAAATGCCATATAAGGTATGGTACCAGGAACATGGAAAAAATGCTAAAAAAATTTTATCTATAAAAATTTCAAAGTTATGAGGGTTTAAAGTTTGCACTTTGACTCTATTTATTTCTGTTGCAAAAATAATTTTTCAATTTTTTTTGCTATAGGCTATTAAAAGAGGAAACAAGGAAGCTTTATCCTAAATTGTAACTCTGTTCAATGTTATTTGTGGCTTTTATTGGCAAAATTTTTGTACCTTTACTAAATAATTGTAAAAAACATATACAAGATCATTAGCATCATTAAATACATATAAAAAAATGTCAAATGTCAAAAAATAAATGTCAAAATTTTTTGACAGATAGAATTTTTTAAACATTTTTTTCATGTTCCTGGTATCTAAACTTACTTAAAAATTTTCTCTGGGGCGCGAGTTCTGGCGCACATAATTTTTCCTACGATCCTGCAAAAAAAACTTAAAAAATTACCATTTTTCTTGAGATTCGCCATTAAATCTAGCAGCATGTTTTTCTAATTCTATGGGCGAGGTAAAATTTTTACCTCCCTGTGAGGTTATATATCTTTTTAATGTAATTTTAACAGATGTGGGAGGAAAAAAACTTTAAAACTTTTACCTCCCTGGGAAGTAATTGGCCACTTCCGAAATTAGAGTGGAAAAGCTTATTTTCTGTTGGGGTCCTACGAAAAATATACAACTCTTATTTTTTTATAAATTAGTTCAATTTAGAAATTCTTTTGTTCCTTTTTTATTAGAAGTATTATTTTTAATATAATTTTTAGTAATTAAGTGATAATCAAAATTTGACAAAAAATATTTCTTATCATAGGTTTTATTATACATTATTAAAACTGTAATAATGAGCCGAATTTAATAATTGCTACATTTGTAAAAAGACAAAAATTGTGTGATTTTAGAAACTGGAAATAAATAATTAATACATCTTTCAAATTGCTGTGGACGGTCAAGGACCTACATAGAAATAGCATCTTTTAGACACACTTTTGTGGAATTTTCCAGAAACATGGACACAAAGTTTTTTTCATGAATTTATTATCCACTCCGATTTTAGGATATAAAGTCTGTTTTTTGATTTTTTGTGAAATTTTGGTTAAACTAGGTACTTAATTTTTAGAACTGTGTGAGAAGCAAACTACTATAACAAGGTGTTCAGTTTTTAAGATATGAAAAAAAAAATTCATTGCAACCGGCGTTGTAATTTCTACTGAAGAGTGTCTGCCGTTTAATGATTAGTTGTCTAAACAGAAGTAAATTTTCAAAAATATAGTTTTTATAATTACGCAAATGTCAGACAAATTTGGACTATGTATACCATGAAGAAAATAATTTTTGGTAAACTGTTTGTTTTCGATTTTCCTAAAAGCGAAATAAAAAAAAAATTGCTACTTTTTATTTTGTTTAACCGAACTTTATTTCGCATTTTTAATACATATTAATACATAGTTTTTTGTTGTTAATTTTTTTTGTAAAAAAATCTTTAGTAGTCATTTTTGATAGTTCTTTTCATCACACGCATTGAAAGTAAACAGTGAAAACACTTTAATCATCTCCATCTGTTAACAAAGAAACACCTCGAGGGCCTCTTCAAAACCCACAATTACCAGGTGGCAAAAAAATCTTGTAAAAAATTGCTAAGTGGTTCTCATCTTTACCGAATTGACAAATAGGTGTCATTGGAGTATTTAACATGTGGGCAGTGGAGTGAGTTTACCTGAGGGAAGCATTAATCATTGTTCGCTCGGCTTCCTGTGCTTATTCACTTTATAAACATATGCAGACTGCATCTTCGACCTAAATAATCTCAATTTTGACAGGTACGAGACTCTGTTTATAATCTGAGATCAGCGTTCGAGTCGTGAATGTTGATGAACTCGCATCAGACACACGTGGAGCCACAAAACTTCAATGGTTGCAGAACTCATCTAATTGGATGTCAATTAGAACTAGATGCATATTTATGGCGTGATCCGTTTCTGTGGCTTAGGGGTGTTTGCTTGTATTATATGAGGAAAGATTTGCGTGTCTTTATACGGAACGATTTCCATTTATTTACGATTTATAAACGCAGTTAAATAATCGTTACAGTTTGTTATTAAATAATTACAAGTTCGCGTTTGCTGCAATTAATATAATTAATTGAGGGACACTGATAGCTTCGGGTGAAGATAATTACTGATTTTCAAATGATTAAAACAGATGAAACAATTAAAGAAGGTAAAAAATTAGAGGCGGAGTTTGATCTCCACTGCTCGTTACACGTAGAACCAATCAATTAATAATCAGAGGCAAAAAGAGGCAATTAACAGCTTTCTTTACAATTGCGGCCTTTGAAACCAATCAAACGAAATTTATCTCTAAATTAATGTAAAAAATATGAATGAATAAAATCTACAAGATGCTAAATTACTAGTCAGTCAGTTTTCTGTCTTGATCCATCATCGAAAAGCCTTCAAAAACATTAAAAATCGTTGCAAACAATTTCAAATGGTTGAAAATTTATCTTAATTAAACTTTATTTGACATTCATTGGTCAGTGAAAAAAATAGTAAGAGAAAGAAACGAAAAAATTAATCTTTGAGTTTGATTTTATCGTCCATAAAGGCCACAATATGTGTTGTGAGGCCTAAACGACAGTTTTCACTTTCTTAGGTTCGGTTTTGTTTACTTTTTCAATTAATTCATGAAAAGCTGCTTCATTAAGTGTTATTATAGTTACAAAGAAACCCGTTGGAGAGTTAACACCTACATTAACATCTTTACAATTGATGAAACACAACCGATTTACACGGTAGAAATCCTTCTACGTGATGTTTTAATCTACTTCAGTAATGTGCTTTATTTACTTAACTGAACTTGCGGAAATAACACTTCTTGTGGATAAATATTGATGCTCTTTGGGGTCAACTTTTTTAGTTTTCTCTTTTGTAAATCATTCTGAAAACGCGAATTTTCAGCAGCCGGTAATATATCTCGGCAATAAACCGATAAACAAGCAACTAATTGCACAATTGCATGTTTTCACATCTACACATTCTTTTTCCGATTCCTTATTATATTTGATTAATTAACGCTTATGTGGAAGTTCGCGTGCGAATGCACCTGTCAAATATTAAATACAGCACCGTAAGTGAAGGTGTTAAGTGTAATTTACTCATCTCGATACTAAAGTTTTATACACTCACTGATAATTTAGCCGAGTCGGGGAGAAAAATGCAGTGAAGGTATAGACAGAGGAGAAAAAAGGCTAATTGCGGGCTCGTAGCCGGAGGTCGTTTCTATTTCTACTGTTTCATGTTAAATGTGGTAAGGAAGTACTACCGAGGCGCACGATGCGGGAGAAACTCGTTAAAACGGGGATTTTGTTTCTAAATTTTCTGATTATTTTTTGATAACGCGGAAACTGACGGTATTGCATAAGATTTACCCTCGGATTTCATCCGAAAACGCCCAAAGAAGGGCGAAACACCAGCAAACAAGAATTTGGCTTTAACAAAACTTCTTTACATAAGATTCTATAAATTTTTGGGAAAATAATTTCACAATTTCACACGGAAATGACCAGAAATAGGTGAAATATTGCAAACTCGGAAACCGTGGGTTTTACATGAAAACTAGTCACAGGTTTTGATTCCCCAAATTATGAAAATAAGTTAAAAATAACTCCCGGATTTCACCCGGAAGCTATCAAAGTTGGGTGAACTACCGAAAACTTGAAAACCGTTCTCTCTAGATATAAACAGTGTTGGATACATATTTATCGGACGATTTTACTTAAAATTTGATAAATTTTCGGAAAAATAATTTCAAGTTTTCTCCCGGATTTCACCTGAGAACGACTAGAAAGGGCGAAATATCGCTCTATATGAAAAGCATGGTTTCGACGAATTATTTTTGATGTAAAATTCACATTTTTCAAAATATATTAATGTTTCACCTGGAAATGACCAGAAATAAACGACAAATTTTATACTCGGAAACTTCGGTTCTAGATTAACAAAAGTGACAGATTTTGATTAGCCCAATGATTTTACATAACGTTCTGTTAATTTTTGGAAAAAATAAGTTAAAATTTGTATTTTTCATAATATTTTGCAAATTCGAATAATAATCTCAAAAGTTGGTCAAACTGATGGTTTTAGATGATAAACTTCAGTGACGGATTTATATTCTCCGGACGATTTTGTTAAATACATAATTTCAAATTTACACTTGGACACGCGGAAACGACCAAAGTTTAACGAGATATTTCGAAAACCGTTGATTTTTGTGGCAATTTTACATA